TCTCTCTCTCTCTCTCTCTCTCGCTCGCTCTCTCTCTCGCCCCGCAGTGAAATTCAGGCTCTGCAATTGCTCCGACACTGCAGCAGCCGCGTTCTGCTTTGAAACCAATTCCATCTCCATTTTTCAGAAGCCCATCAACGTTTCTTTAGTTTGTTATTGCTACGAGCTCTCATGCTAAAGCGAGAGTTTACTCCTCCCGACACTAAGAAAACAGGAGGGGAGGAGTCAGCTGAGCGGAGCACAGAGAGGGAGAGAGACTAAGTAAACAAACAAGCAGGAAAATGAAACTTATCGTCCTCATATTTTTTAACCGACCTCAAAATAATTTATCATGCAATTAATTGATTTATTGACTATCGGGACAGGCCTACCTGGGAGGTTAATTTTAGGGTAAATGGTCAGGGTTAGGTTATGAAGTTTAAATAAAAATGAATGGAAGTCAATGGAAAGTCCCCACGAGGATTGAAGAACAAACGTGTGTGTGCAGGTGTGTCTGTGTACCAGTGTGGACTCATCAAAAACAGACCCAGAGTGTTACCTTAACTCATTCGTGCATGTTTAACAAACACACAAAAATCCAGGTACTTATCTGTTTAAAGGTGACCTAAACTACTAAAAGCTTAAATATATCAACTTTTCACTGCTTGTAGCCATAAAATATGTTATTCTTACCTCAGGGCATGGCTCAGTTCTGGTATCACCRCCCCCTCACTCTCTGGGAGGTCCTGGATTTGAAGCAAAGTATCGAGACTGAGCAGCTCTCCCTCACCTTCCACAAATGGGACYGGTATCTCCGGGAAACTGGACTGGAGGAGCAGCTGGACCCGGCAGCTCAGTGAAGCCTGGTTGGAAGAGGAAACAAACACAAAAGAAAAGAAAATCATACATTGCTTTTACAATATTATGTGATGGACAAAATGAATATAAGCATTTTTAGTCAAATGTCTTCAACCTGGCAGCTGTTCCTTCCCGTTGCTCCATCTCGCTCCTCCTTATTGTCCTTCCCAGCGWAAAAACTACCAACTGGCTCTCTAAACCATGCCCAGGTTTTACCCTCCCCTGGTACATTTTGATGCTTGAAGTCTGCCCAGTGTCCCTCTTCATCCTCCTGCGTGTGSGCCGAGCAGAAATCTGCAAAGCTGCCACTAGGAGGAAGCTTTCCCGGGCTCTGTGTTCTGACATCAGCTGTTTGAACAGGTTCATGGTCTCTGTGATGACCACCGGCGACATGGGCAAGTTCATCCTGTGTGTTTGTTAAGTGCGACTGGCTGGAGGTAGCAGAGGTTTCCTGAGTTGTGTAGTGGTTGGAGTGACGAAGGTGCGACTCAGACAAACTACGATTTGCCACTTCACTCCTGATCAGAAAGACAGAACGTCTACAGTTTTCTGGGTTTTCCACCTCTTCAGTTGCTTTGATTGACTGACTGCCTTGAGAAGCAAGACGCAGAGGAGACTGAGCTTCCACCTCTGCAGAGGCACGCTCAAAGGAAAAACCATCACAACAGGATGTCTGGTCAGCAGAGGCGGGCTCTTTCTCAGTGACCCGCTGAGGGACTCTGGCTTCGAGTCTCTGGACCTCCTCAACAGATGTGAAACTCAAAGCTGCAGGTTCCTGAGGCTGATGGTGGCCCTGAGGTGGTTGCACAAGAACTGCATCTCTTTTCTCACAGTGTTTTACATCAGTGCAGACGTCGCTCTGCTGGGTTTTGGGTTCAGAGTCCGTAACGGCATCTTGTTCACCAGAGCTGATGTGTGCTTCTTCCGGCCTTCTATCCCACTGCTCGGTAAAACCACAGCACCAAGGGTGTCCCGCCTGCTCCGTGAACAAAGTAAAATCGGCAAACCCTGTTTCCTCTGCAGGAGAATTCACTAAAGAGGCACTAAAAGCCTCAGACCCTGGGTCTTCAACAGCACGTCCATTTGAGTAGTGCAAAGATTCAGGAATACAAGTTGGCCCGTCCACGTCCATGTGACGCCCGTCAGAGCCCAACATCACAGCAGATGTGTGTTGGTTTTGTTCAACGAGGTGATTAAAGCTGGAGTTCGGTTGATGGGTTGCTGGCTTTGAAGTCGGAAAGGTTTGTCTGTGAAAAAATGGTGGCGCCGTGGCGTCAGCAAGGCCGAAAGGGGAGCACACCACCGGCGAAGAAAAATCCCCAAACTCGTCGTCTTCTGATCCCACACCACCATCACCGTCTCCGTCCATCGGAAGAGAGGAGTCAGAGTGTGAGGACATGATGTCTGGCTCCATAAACTCATCTAGCAGGGCTCCAAAACCTCATGTATCTGGATGAAGAAAGGGAAAACAGAAACAACAACTAATTATAAAAAATATATACATACTCTTTTGCCTATATTTTATAGAGTTCCAGTTTGTAAAGTACTTCCTGTTTTGTGTTTAGACTTCACTGGCTGTTAATAATTGAGGAAGTTGGATAAATATGTCCCTTTCAATAAATTTTTATAAGAGTTTTATATTAAATGTCTTTTTTTTTTTTGGATTCGGTCAGGTGCTTGTTTCTTCCTGGCTCTCTCTGTATGAACCAACCAGCCTCTCTAAAAAACTGGACTAACAGGCTGTATTCATGCTTATTTACCGAAAACACAGCAGCGACCGTCTGTTTAACTACAATAAAGGCAATTAAAGTCACATACTTTCATGTTTTGTCAATATGTCAGCAAAGGTCTTTGGTTTTGTAGTCGGTAAAGCAAAAAAAAAAAAAAAAAAAATACAAAACCGCTGCGTTCGTTCACCTCTTCTTCTCTCCCCTCCTGAGTTTTCATCCTGGACAGAAAACAGGTGATAAAAACTAATGTCTGAGAAGTCATGGAAACATTAGCAGGAAAATAATGTGTAATACAAGCGACAAAGATAAGTTATTTTTAGTGCAAAACGAGTTGGAAGAATTAATCCTTTTAAAGTGCTAACAGAAGCTGATCCTGTTAGCTCATTAATTACCATCACAGCGGCAGATTAGCTAGCTTTTAACAACAAGCTAGCTTCCGTTTCATCCGCCCAGCTACAAAAAGACGACTTGTTTAAACGCAGCCAAGGTTAGGTTAGCAATATTACCTTTTATTTTCCTGGAGCTTATTTCTCCAGTCATGTCAATTTCGCGGCTCCGCTCACTCCCATCGTTTATCAACATCGCTCTCCATAGTATTTATCAATCTAAGATGGATGAAAATTCAAGAGGTCTCACTGTGCTCARGGTTTCAGGTGCCACATCTTTATTAAAGAAACAGGAAAAAAATAACTTGTTTTGTGTTACATTTCCTCTGATATATTTTAAATATTACGAAGGAGGGTGAAAGATTATTTCAACAAACTTACCCTTACGAGCAGAAACAACAAAAAACATTACCACCTTCGACCTACGCAGTTTATTATTATTGTATCTCCATGTTGTCAATGTGCCTTCTTGTCTAAATAGGCGATCTTTGTTACTGCATTTACAGCAACAGCACCCCCTACTGGAAAACATTCCGCTGGTTATTGTCTTTCAACTTTTCCTGCATATTTTTATGGATACATTCGGAGCACAAAAAAAGTAACATCACACGGTCAAATTCTCAACCAAAATCCTTTGGACTGATGTGTCTGTGTCATTAAGTTAGCCAATTATTAAAGAGCAAGAAAAAAGGAGCAATGACCAAAAGACACATCAGCAATATTCAAAAAGAATACACGTACACAGAGAAAAAAAAATCACAAAAAATGCAAAAACAATAAAAGCATGCAGCTACATTGTCATTAAAGTGGTTGTAATTATTCACAAGCACTGAAATCTAACTGGTTTTGTTTATGGTTTGTGRTTATTCTGTATGTTGTGAGCGTTTCAGAGAAACTGAGACGTTTATTCTCTAAACATGACGTCCCAGTGGCTTTCAAACCCCAAAACACACTACCGCAAAGATTGGTTTGCCCTAAAGATCCAGTTCCCCTGACACAAACAGATATACTGTATATGCTGTTAAGTGCCAGGAGGACTGCGATCAGGTATGCATCGGGAAACAGCCATTGTTCAAAAGAATGATCCAGCACAGACAAGCTACATCATCAGGTCAGGACTCTGCTGTTTACACTCATCTACAGGCCAGCATTCACTCCATTATTAATTCTTCTGTGTTTGCATAATTCCACCGTATTTGTTTATCTAAATATGCCTAAAGGAGGTCAATCATGTGTTCATGTGGTTTCTGGCAGATTGGGCTGAGTGCTTTGTCTACATCAAGTGCGTACCCTCGTTTTAAAATGTTAAATATTTCACAAAATTACAAATTTTACTTCTGTGGAAAACTACAAGATAAACCCCTTCAAACCGCACCATTTGATATAATTCAGATCAACTGTTTTATGTTGAATTTCTTAGTATTTTATTGAGTCTCTTTAGTCTTATAGTGGTGTGTGAAACTATTTATCTTTGTGTTATCAGCCACAAAACAACAAAAAGGCCAACAACAAAAAAAGACACCAGGATTTTAAAATTATTAAAAACAAACATTAAATAAGCTTTGTTTCTTTATTTTATAGTTTAATAAAATACAAGAATGAACAAAAAAAAAAAAGATTACATCAGGTTAAATAGCGAAACTTGACAGTATTCAAATAACAGGCCAGGTTATTTGAATGTTAAGCGACATCTGATCAGGTGAACAGCAGCYTGAGATTTCATGGCTTTAATGTTTCTTCAGGTTTCAAACTTTTCACCTCAAATCGTTCAGYTTAATGATCTCTCCCCGTTGATGTCCGTCGGGCCTGAAGACCGCCGGGAGCATGTCTTTAAATGATAAGAATGTGCGACCATTTTCCCACATGAATTGCAAAAATAGGGCTTTTCGCCCGTGTGTTTCCTCATGTGAACCCTGAGGTTYGAAGTCTGGGTGAAGAACTTGCCACAGAAAGGGCACCTGTGTGGCTTTTCACCAGTGTGGACTCTTAAATGCAAAGTCAGGCTGTCTTTACGGGCAAACTCCTTGTGACACTCGGGACATTTAAAAGCCTTCTGTCCTATGTGCGATTCGTCCACGTGTCTGATCAGATCACAGTCCCTAATAAACGTCAAACCGCAAATACGACAAGTCTTACTGTCCAAGGTTTGCTCTCGCTGCAGGAAGGAACCACGATTTGGACCATAGTGGGATAACCCTGAACCTATGCTTCCGATCCACGGTCCGTCGTCATCGTTTAGCGTCACGGTCACAGAGCTGTCACTTGGGAACGGCTGAGTGTCAGTCTGAGTGGCTGTTTCTGAGTCGTGGTGTGGAAATGTTACATCCTCTGAAGGATCAGTCTCCAGGTCAGGGATGATGCAGACGTCCAGCTGCTCCTCTTTAACCTTCTGATGCTGCTGAGTCTGCTTCTGCTCCTCAGCTGGAAACTGACTTGGGTCCTCTGAGATTGACTGGACATCTGTGAGGCAGAGAACACGCCGAGTAAATATGAACGTTTATAACAAAATGCTTAACAACTGCACCAAGGATGAGCATGATCACTTATTATTCTGTTCACAAATGATGTGCTTTATCTCAACACCCAGCAAATTATACATCAAAATGTGTGGCTCCGTCTAGAACAATGTGCTATGACCTTTGATAGATACATTGTGCAACATACACAAAAAAGAAAAACAATATAAAAGGAGGTCAATGGGTTTTTGGTGGACTACAAAAAAAAAATCTCAAGCCATCTAAGGAACTCTGGCTCAAACATACTGTATTTCACAGCAGAAACATTAAAGTTTAAACAAGTTACAGGTAGGGCTGCCACAAACGATTATTTTAATAATCGATTAATCGTGGCAGCCCTAGTTACGGGATGTTTACTGTATGCCTGAACTGGAATTTTTATATATTTCACAGTTTTATGACTTGGGTAATGTTTGAAAAATAAAATAATCACACCAGTTTAGTTTTTTAATTGTCTACAAGTAACAAATCATTAGCACACAAACATTTCCTTTTTTTTTTTTTTGTACTTAAAGGCTCAAAAACTGTTATGTGTTGCTCTGAACTTTCACATCCCTGCTCTACTATCTGGCCTTCCTCCTCATCATCTCATGACAGCTCTATGACTCACAAAACTCTCATTAAATCATTTCTGCCTCATTCAGCCCTATACATTAATATGTTGGCATTCTTTGTCTTCTTTCACCCTGTGTGTGTCTCACCACTGTAGGACTTGTGTTTTCCAGTTGCGTCTCTATTAGGAAGTCGGACACAGGTGTGTGGAACCACTGGCGACATCTTCGACCTTTAATCTTTTTTTATTCTCTTATTTAATACGATTCATGCACCAACATGATGGCTTTTCAAGTGTAGGTTAAAATAAAGTTATGTTAGAAGTTTGGCAGCAGCTCCCTCTCTAATTATATCAWCACAAAATCGATATTAAAATGCCGGACGTGACCTCCGTGAGTTCATCAACAGACCTTCTTTGACCAGGAACACTCGAGGCTGTAAGACGGTGAGCTGCTCGATCTGTTGCTTCAGCTGGATAATTTCTCTCCGGGAGCGGAAGACCTCCTCCTGGTACTCTGTTACTGTCTTTTCAACGAGCCCGAAGATTTCCTCCGCAGCCGCTGTTAGCCGCTCGTTGACCAGCAGTCTGAGCTGCTGCATCCCCGACATGACGGGACACCGGAGGCACCGGGAGGGGCCGGGAGAAATCTGTTAAATGCAGGAAAAAAAAGCCACGACAAGTCAAAACGGCTAAGGTTGATTCAATAAAACCACAATAATTAAATTAATCTTTTGTCTTGTTGCTGCTGGCTTCTAAAAAGAGAAGGTTTTGTGTTTGCGTAGYGCCCCCTGCTGCTCAGGATGACTTATGAACGCGCTTTATAAACACGGCTGCAAATGTCTTCATGATCAGGGGTGGGCAATCCTGGTCCTGGAGGGCCGCAGCCCTGCAGGTTTGACCTTTTTCTCTGCTCAAACACACCTGRTTTGAAAGAATGGGTGAATATCAGGCTTCTGCAGTACGGAGGACCGAAACTGATATAATCAAAAATAAAAGCGGAAAAATATAAATTGACTAGTAAATAAATACACTTAAAGTGCACCAATATAATTC